CTTACGTTTCCTAGTTTAAACACAAAAACTGAAATCGGTACGGTCAATGTGGCTACGTCCAGTACAGCCACATGCAGAGGTCTCCTTCAGTTTATGAGGAACGTTGGCGATGTAACGAGGTACCGAGATTGCAACTACTACTCAGACTATCCACGGAATGTGATTTAACGTCTTGTTGTGAATTTACATTGGCTTTAATTAGTATGCATTGCAATTAAAACTCTCATGATATCAGATAAAAGACTATGGATCGTTTTCGTCAAATTGACTACGCCGTTGTGCTATCTAAATCTGCTTATATAATTGGCAATTACGATACACAGTATACAATTTGGTGACCACACGAGTACTGGCAAACGTCAATATTCTATTTTAATCAGAGTTATTGCCAGAGATACGATCCCACAGCTAAGAATGAACAATTTAATACTCGTTTCCATTTCACATTTCTACATCGATGGAAATAACTTTCTATTTAGCGATATGTGCCGTGGTGATGGTTGGCTATACACTTCTTTATAACTTGTTCCGATGCTCCTAGAAACAAAATATGGTGTTTATCACTGAAGGGGTTAACAACGGGTTCTCTTTCGTAAACGTAATATTGCCTATGGTATGTTAATAGTTATTGTAGTAAAACGAAAATTTAACAGATCTTATATTAGGCGGTCGCGATGTAGAACAAATAAAAACCACAAGGTCGAGCAGTATTGAGTAAACGTAATATTGCCTATGGTATGTTAATAGTTATTGTAGTAAAACGAAAATTTAACAGATCTTATATTAGGCGGTCGCGATGTAGAACAAATAAAAACCACAAGGTCGAGCAGTATTGAGGAAGCTCGGCACATTTTTGACAAAAAAACAATATTCTACGTACGAAACATGGCTGTGTGTCTATCTTCCTATCATAATGGCATTATGGTGCCAAAAACTCCCGGTCAAACGTAAGCACCTACGGCCCTTAGCTAATTTTTCCCCTAAAGTTACATCCCTTCGTGAATGAGTTACTATTGAGTCTTTGGTACTCCGACCCCGGATGGAGAGTGGTCCCTGTTCGTATTCAATCCTGCGTATAATTTGAAAACAGGTCTGCCGATCATGATTCTGTCGCAGCAACCACTACGCTACCAGTGGGTTTGTTGTGGCCTTGCGCCACTGCAGTATGGCAGATCTGAACAGTGTCGATACAGTGTCACCCTCATTTATCAGTTGTTGTTCGTGTGTGACACGTGTTATGATGCATGAACCATACTGCAAAAACAATACCGTTCAATAGCTTAGCGGGTGTGATACAATCGCCTATTTTACACGTTCTTATTTACTCGCATACCAGTTTGCTTTGTATAAGCGTTTATTTCTACATAATGATCAACATGGGAAATTTTCCTATGTTAGAATGCGTATTTCAATTTGATTCTTCTGTGATAATGTCAGTAAATGTAAATTTCAGTTGTCACGTGTTTCTGCATGGTATAAAAAAGTGTATAATGCTGCAATCACTGTAAATTATCAAACAATATCAGTTGATATAGGTCATAGAACACATTTTAGTGAAAAAAAATATGATAATGTTTTTTTTAAAAGTTAATATTTTTAAAGTGGCAACTTACGCGAGAATAATATAGTTTAAGAGGCATTAAATATGTATTATTATGAACGTGTTATGAACGTCTTTTTAGTTTGGAAATGTACGTTACAGTGACGTCACATTTGAGCAATTTCCTTTGTCTACGACAGACGTTAGCCTAAACAGACTATGTATTATTGTCTAGACACAAATATTCATCTTATTAATTTAAAGAACTTTCGCTATTGGTTACTTGAGTATACCATTCCTGACCATACCTATTACTGTCGGGTTTCACGATTCATTGTTACAGTGTAAGCCCTGCTTATTGATATTGTGAGGGACACCCACAGAACTCAAACTGGAAAGGGGGTTCTTTCACAAGACAATAGTACTGGAAATGAAATTCACATATACCAAAATATCAAGTTAAAGCTCTTTTAATACTTTTCAAAATAATTACAAGAAACAAACGACAGAATAATACAATGCATAAATTTACTAAAATAGGAGATTGTGCTTTGGTGATAACTCAGTTGCAGGATGTGGAAATTGATGACAGTCAATGGCTTCTGCAACACAACGACGAAGAAATACAGTAGTCTTGCTTGCAGAGGAACGTTGTTATTCTGGAGAACACCACTGAAAGCAGGAGATCGCAGAGCAGTTCATACAAGTCTTACATAATGATGATTGAAGCCTGTATTACTTGTGACACAATATCGCAGTAGCAACAGACAGGGTACACAGGTGGACTGTCCTCCGTCTAGACTATTTACATGGCATAAATGACCCAGTTTCAGGTACACCACCTGGGGTTCCACAGGAGCCAATCAGAATGTGGTCTTCCTAGCAGCTGTTCTACGATGTCATTCAGGTCAGGTACATTGGCAAGTCAGTAGATTGTCAACATCCTATGTTATGTAAATGACAAGCAAACCTGGTAGATTCGAATTATCCTTCCATAGTTGTAAACAAGTATGACCTGTCAATCACCTTTATGACAGTTATCACACGGCAATAAACACTGTTGCTTCCTATGATCCATGCACACTTTTATTTGCAAGGTTTGAGGTTATATAAAAAAACATAGAATAAAGGATGCTGACATTCATCTTATTAAAGAACTTCCCCTATTGGCTACTTGAATGCACTATTCCAGAGATATCATACTGTGCCTACAGGGCTGATCGTGTTACCATTATATGCAAACACATTTTGTAGTTTATACTACGTGTAACTGGCGCCGGATAAAGATACACTTTTATCACCTACCTGCAATAGTATGCGTCTCTCTCGATTGAAAGTAGGGTGTGACAGATTATAACCCGGTGCCTGAATAGTTTTGCTGGTATTTTAGACTGATATATCTTACTAAATAAAGACTATAGATGTCGTTATAATAATGTGTTTAACAGCAAACATTATCAGTATTATTCGACCACTAAAATAATGGAAACACCAGTAGATATACGCGTGTATCCCAAGTGTGTGTGTGTATTTTCTCGTATTTTCCTTTATTTCATCTAAAAGATATATTGTTATATTTGGATCCCGTGTTATTTTATTTCCTCCCAATGTGTTTTGTTTTCAACCTGTAATCAAAATATATCCTGAGGTGTGGATCAAATGCCGCAATATATTACCGTAGCTAAAATAATAGTTACTCATATGATTATCACAGTCATCTATGTTGTCTCGTTAAAACAATATTGGAGCATGACGGTTACCAAGCGACAAACAACGAGCTAAAAGTTTTACACTTCTCTGTTTTATCATTTACATGTCAACCTAAGCCAAGCTAGTGATACATATGAACACACTCACGCTCACTGTACTTGCACATCGTAACACCCCTTGTGAAGTTGACTGGAACATTTGCGAAGTGTTTATTCATGATCCAGTTTAACGTACTGTTATATGTATTAGGGGGTGGTTATGTTTAAACATTACGCGCATACATACAGTAATTACTATGAATATAAATGAAAACATCCATGCGTACAAGCATAGCAACAAATGTTTGCAGATTTTAAATAACAGTTTCTTGCTGCTGTTTACTTTTAGTCTAAAAATCGCCATGGGGTGGAATGCATATTAATACTGATTGTACATGTATCATAAGACTGATTTGTTCCATATTACATTTCATAATCGCCAGGAAATGGAACATATCATAGACGCCCGTATAATCACATTTCCAACAGCGACACTAAATAGTATTCGACAAAACTGATTAAAATATCTGAAAACGTAAATTAACTCCAGTCACTATAACTTCCATTTATTAATTGTTTTTGTTTTCTATATTAAAACATGCAGTACATTACTGACGGCAACAATCACGCATATCACTTCGTGAATTGAATCAGAAGATGGAATTTAAACGTTGGTTCTTATTTCGGATGCCTACTGTATAATGTAAATACCCATATTAGTTCCGCTATTTATTGGCGACCGAAGTTTCTGTTTTCAAACTTTTATCTGAATATATTTGAGGACATGGCTGTGCAGACAAAATAGTAAATGATTGAAGTTTTGACATGTCTTATGCAAAACTACTAATACATGTAATAATTACACTGATTGGACATTATGCAAGTAGAAAAATATAAAATTTAAGTCATTAAAATTATGTAACCAGTGTCGATGAATGATAACAGACAATTCACTGAAGATAAACATAAACAAATATCAAGACAATAGATATAACAATACAAAATAAAAAATAATAAAAAAAAACATAGTGGAAAAGCAACAAATTACAACACTATTATGAAAGTTAGCAGCATTACGTACATTCGTTAAACATTCTTCATGTATTCTTCGAAATCATTTACCGAATCTACTTTTCAATTTCAGTTGTCGTAAAATAGATGAAATGCTGGCAAGCTGCATTTTATCCCTTAGGCCGATAACACTCTTGTTCGTAAACATAGCAACATATTGTGTTACTTATAAACAAACATTGCACTCGGAACAGATCATTTTTTCAAGACAAATCACAACAAGCTTCAATCTAAAAATAATACACGTCACCAAGAGCGGTATCGATAATGAACTTTATGTGCATTTATGCGTACTAGTTTAGATTCATAATTATTAAACCCATATTATGTTTGCAGTTTAATATCCGACTGCCTTAACAATTTCATTTTACATTTTACACACTTTCATAAACAGCTGGAATTGTTTACCTTTCGTTATAAAGCTCATGTAATTTAAAGGACAAATAGATCTAGACTATTTTAAATGACATATTCACGCATAACACAGGGAGACTTTATGTACTTGCTCATTTAGAGGTTCCACAGTATCTCACCTAGGTTTTTTGAAATGTTTTCCGTGAGCGAAATTACAGTGGTATTATATAAAGACAAACTTGAAAAATGAGTACTAAAATTATTCTTTTTAAATCTGTTTATTCTAGATTCCAAACTTGATAACTCCTCAGCACCAAGCTCGAAAGTTGCGTCAGGTGGAAGTAATATTGTTTGGACTGACGTTCGCGTCTGTTTTTCATATTTGCGCGAAAAATAATACCATGAGCATAATGAATTCATTGTTTCAAAGAGTATATTCTAAAACAGGTACATAAATGTACATACAATAAACATTATTATTGTACAGGCTGTACGTGTGTGTGGTTGATAGAATTTTAGAATACGCCCTCAAACCTAATTATTCATCAGTGAAAAGTCAAGATCTGTCTTTCCACAGGGATGAAACATCATTGAACTTCTTTCCCAGTCGTCATTTCTCGTATGTGAATGCAATTCTAAGTGAAATGGTTTGCTAGTTCGTCCACAGTTTCCCTGTATACACTGACCTCCAGGACACTCATATGGAACGCCTATTTATCAAATAAAATGGAATGTGTAGCCAACTTCATCAATAAATATAGTACGTTGTGTGATTAGTCTATTCCATGATTTCTCTTCAACGTGCGTGGCCCGTACCTCGCACAATAAATATAATTGGGGTAATTGAATATCTATTACAATTTATCGGCTTCTCAAGTCATATTGCGCATGTAATAATTATATGCAACAGGGTGTAATTGTGTTTTTTCAGATGTTGTAGCTGTCCTACTAGAGCGTGGGATCGACGTTGCCGATTCACTGTTGCAAGCAGTTGACATACAGATCATTGGTTCAGTGTCAATAATATTGGACCATTTGAAAGGCAAGCACTTACTGAGGGTAAGAATATACAACATAGCGCAATATTGTGATTTAAAATTGTCCATACATGTGTTAAAAGTTAGATACAATGTAACATTGACATACCAATAACTGTGAGTGGACATATTCATCTAATGATGTCGAAATGTTGTTGTCAGACAACAAGTATTTAACAGGGGAAGAATTTAAAGGTACATTGTATATTGAAGGTCATTTTATGATTTAAATTTTTGAAATACAATTGCAAGTAAAGCTAATATTCCCAAATCCACAGAGAGAGTAGAAGGTTTGCGATGGTGTCGACCGATTAATTTCTTCCCTGTCTAACCTAATCCAAAGAAAGCTATGTGTGAGAAATCTCTATGTCATATTGTGAATAATGCATTCACTTTAATTAAAGGCATCTAACTGAATTTGCTCTAAGGGTCACATGGCCCTGAGCTGTAGTCTACTCGTGTGAAGTGATTCGGTGATCAGTCCTATGACATCGCACCTCAGTAATGAATCAGATACTTACGTACGTGAAGTTAGACGAGTAGCAGATGAATGACGTCATACTAAAGGTCGAAATACAAACTTAGATTAATACAATTTATATGACGCCATAGTACTTTAAATCCTGAATTTAATTTGCTAGAAAAAACGTACTCGTAAATAAATCATATTTAGACTGAGGTTGAGCACCAGAAAGGGCAAAATATCAGCCACAATGACGTCATATCATGGGAAATGATCTGACATGAAAGATAATATGCTCAAAGGATAATAGCATAAGATGTATAGCTTTGTCATTGATAATCACTATATTTCTTCCATTTAATTTTTGTATTGTCACCTACCCAGAATGCTTTGTAAATGTGAACAATACACTGGTCATGACCCGTCCTTTTGTCGCTCTTCTTTGGCGTAGCTGGTGTACAAGGTAAATTTTGGGATTCTCCCTATACTATACGACGAGCGACATTTCAGCGATATATTGCCTACACCCATTTACGTCATTCTCAATTAGATGCCAAAAAAGCGTTTTGTTGCTAGAGGGCGCGACTGATTGGTCTATTTTATATATTATTCATTACGTCATTGTTTGTAGACACTTAACTCACGATGATTTGGCTCGAACAATTAATGAATAACTAAAATATTATGAATTTTAATCATTAGTGTGGGTTGGAGATCACGTAACAAAATCTGGCCAATGTCCATGGAAGGAGATTGGAGGAAGCGTAAATGTTTTTTTTTTCTTTTATAGGAATGTCTCAACTGTCACTCGTTGAATGGAGACTTGCATCCAGATATTACGCCGATCATCTTAGCAGCCCACCATAACAATTATGATATCATTAAACTTCTCCTCGATAACGGGGCAAATATCGATGATCCAGAATTCTACACATTTAAGACCGAACAGTTCACGCTGCAACACTCTCTTGGTTTGATAAATGTATACAAAGCATTGGCCAGTCAGGCCTACATAGCGCTAACCAGTGCAGATCCTATCGACACTGCGTTTGAATTGGGTCAAAAGTTACACCAGCTCAGTAAACGCGACTACGAGTTCAGAAACCAATACCAAGAATTAGCTGATCAATGCGAACAGTTTGCCTCGGATCTACTCGGGAAAGTTCGGGATTCCGATGAGCAGGCGATTGTTTTGAATCACGATCCAGAAGAGTGGTTGTTAGATGGGTCAGAAAATAAATGCGACGAACCTTATAAGGTGAAAAGAGCTATTAAGTGTGAACAAAAGAAGGTACGAGATTGATTAACAAGAAATGATTTTCACAAGTTTCAACATTATATTCCACATTTTCTGTCACATATACAAGGTTTGATTCCAAACGACAAAGCATAGGTCTAGCACCAGCAGATTTTAAGGTTTATTGTTTTTTCTTTGTTCAAAGCGGAAACATGTGGAAGGGATTATTATATAACAGCAGAAATTGCTATATTGGTGTTCATTTCCCACGTTTTACCAGGTTGCTTTATGAGTGATCCCTCCCCATAAACCTGAACAACTAGATTCTTTTCTTATTTTACAGTTTGTTGCGCATCCTCACTGCCAGCAGCATCTAATAGAGGGATGGTACAGAGGACTTCCTAATTGGCGGCAACAGGGCAAAGTGAAAACATTGTTCGTCATAATTGTCATCTTTTTTTGCTTACCAGTATTATGTTTATCGTACGTGATATCGCCAGAAAACAGGGCATCCAAATTACTACGTATACCGTATCTGCGATTCGTGTGTCATACGTCTTCCTCGGTCTGGTTTCTGGTGTTGCTAGGGTTACAGGCTGTGGATTGGGAGGGAATAGACGATAACGTACACGGGACACCGGATCATGATAAATGGGCTTTCGTTGTGAAACAACAGCAGAGAGTTTCGACGCCTTCATTCACCGAAATTCTCATAATCTTCTGGATTTTAGGTAAGTTCTTACTTTTTATCAGCCTGTCATCCGCCTAGACCATGGTCCAAATTAAAAACCCAAAAGGTACAGCGTGTTCCACTAGTATTGCGATATAGACTCCCCGTCACAAGTTTTCGACAGAGTGTATTTCTTTCGTTTTTTTGGAGTACAAAAGAGAAAGAAAAATATTTTGACAAGATAATTCAGAAATGTATATTAAGAATAATTCATAACGATGCACCCATAACTAATTTCCATAAATACCGATTACAACTCATGCATGAACAATAACTTTAATAAATATGATTTTACTTAATATAAATACTGTATTTTTCTGCATAAAAACGAAAGAATTTCATATTGTCGAAAACGGAAAGTCTTTATCGCAGTGTTCACTGGAATAAAACCATTCCCGGCTTACGTCGAAAACAATTCCTGGTAAGTCCACTGAGTAACCATTGTCTTGAAAAACTTGAATAAGTAATGTAATGTCAAATGGTTTGAATGTTGCTGGTACCATTCATCAGACATATATTGTCAGTGGTAAGAAATAACAGTATGTCGGTTATTGAACTTAGATGCAAACACTTAAATCATAATTTAGGTACAAGTAACTGTCAATCATTCCGCGTGACGATTGTTTTGAAATAAGGATATTTGATCAAATATTAACACTGACGCTATTTCAAATGGATACAACAACGACGATATAAAGTTGTTGTCTTAGCAACCAGAAAACCCGGAACTCGTCCAAAAATTATTAGTTTCTATCCAAACCCCTGATACAAAGCATGGTATTGTCTACGCTGAGACTATATACGGCAGTGTAGCAATGACGTAGCGCAATGTCCAAATATGGGCACATGATATAATATTCGATGTATATTTCAGGGTTGACATGGCAAGAATGTCGTACGTTATGGAAAAAAGGTGCTAAGTCGTTCATGGAGAACTTTCAGTGGAAAGTGTTTGACTTCATTACCTTATCTTTATACTGGGGATGGATAGCCCTGCGTGTCACAGTCACAATTCAGGTAGAGCTATTTATATACATTGAACGACGCAATGTGGTTAAACGCATTGTTTAATATGGTTGTTTGTTACAGTATGTCTATAAATACATTGAATTATGATTTGAAATGAACAACTAACGTTGCCTGTATGTATCAAAGCAGTGTATTAATATTCGTCTAGCATATTTTAGAACATGAATGGACATTTCTTAAGCTGTGGTCTCACTGTGCGAAAAATTTTTGTAAGTTGAATTTTGTTTTAACAACCTGAAAGAAACTGAATCCCATTTTCAATTTGATTTGTACATAATGTAACAAGTTTTAACATTTTAGAATAGGAATATTTATGTTTAGCCATCTCAACTTTCGTTTTAACAACCTGAAAGAAACTGAATTCAATTTTCAATTTGATTTGTACATAATGTAACAAGTTTTAACATTTTAGAATAGGAATATTTATGTTTAGCCAAATATTAAATAATTCATTATAGTGTAATTTAGGGTTATTGTTAATAGTGTTATAAAATAATGAAGGACGGCCACAGCCAGTTTTACTCATATAGTTATTGTTATATGGCCATTAATTAGTCCTTGTGTACATATTTTTGAAGGTGAACATTTTTGCCATAATATTATCAGGGGGAAATTCTTCTCCTCTAGGGTTCTCCACACGTGCCAGGGGGGAATCTCGTCTCGTCTCTCTATCTCGTCCCCTTGAGGTACGGGATCGGGAAAGTCACTTAAGCTTTACAGTCAAATAGACACACACAACGAAATACGTTTCAACTCACGTCTTAGTCGGTTATTCGATCACTCTATAAGACACAGCGCTCTGGGGAAAAGTCCCCAAGACTATCGCAAGGCTGACCCAAGACTCACCCAAGACTCTCCAGGACTGCGTCTGTTCTGGTGTACTCGCCAAGACCAGCTAAAAACAACTTTATTCGCTTTCAAAACATTAACCAATTACAAAGCAGTAAAAAGACTCTAGGGCGTAACCTTCAATCATAAAGCCAATCACACTAAGCACTGAACACATCATATCTTTTGATTAATCGTTCACTACATAAATAACTACGAATACTAAACTGTCAGAAATAGTAGTCCGAATATCGACGGTTATCTCGTACTTAGTTCCAAATCACTGAGTCGAGTTCAGTTCAGAACCTCGCATAGGCTTAAACGATGACAGACATAACACAACCAAACCATTCACTCGTAATCAACTAATTAAGTCGATTAACAGATACGTGTAAACAATTTCATCATAATATTACATTTTATGTATCCCCAGCCAAATCAAAAACTTTCTTATGTAAATATCATTTAATGGGAGAACAAGATTATGAAACCAATTATTGTCAGTTTATTTATGAAACGGGAGAGCTAGAAACTACAAGCGATCACAAATTGTATGGACAAAAATATATACATATTACAGTTTTAAGAAAAAATAGCGATTTCCTTAAAATTTACACGCATGTAACCTCAAGGCTGTTTTGGGTGTTGGAGGCAAAAGTTCAAAATCACAGTATGTAAGTATGTGTATGTATTTATGTATGTCGACAGTATAAATAATAGAAGGGAAAAATAGTCGAACTTAAATGTCAAGGCCAAAGTAATAATATACACGTGTATAAGGCCTAAACAGTGGATGTTGATATAACTATTAATGAAATCTAGTGTAGGTTGATGTCTCCTCAGCGTGTTGTCTGGTTGTAGGAACAATTTCACAAGTTAGCCGGCGCCATTTTCTGTTTATGAAAGCTCAGTGTGGGAATATGAATGAACTATTATGTTAATATTGTAATTAATTTATTCATTGCTTTCTCTAGACTACAAAACGGGAACTTCAAATTCCTTTGCCGACCAATATGCATACATAAAATTGTACTGTTTTTCTTCTAATTAAAATTGTTTTTGTAACCGCATTTTGTGTAGACGTGCAGAAATTTTTACCTGAGAAATTATTCTATGTATTAACATTCTACAAAAAACTGAAATTTCCGTATATTTATAATTATGTCGGTACCCACTTTTTATTTTTAAAAGGAATATACTAGTAACCAGCATGTTTTGTTTTACTTATTCGCCATCGTGTCCAAAAAATGTTTTCTCAATAATTTGGCCCGTGGTTCCATTTTTTTGCATATAAACTTGTATAACAATAGGTAATTTATACACGAAGTATATACAACTTTCTAAACGTTTCATGAAAATATATTAGTCGAACATAACAACCGTGTCAGATTTTCTGAATAGATGGATATCGCGTTTTTTTTATTAACTGTAGTAAATGTAAATTGTTTATGTTGCACATGCTGTACGAATTATTAGAGTATTCTATAGTATACATATTTCGATGTTGAAGTGTGTAGCTACCGTCCGATTCACCCTCTCATTCTATAATAATATATAAATATTACCCAATGCACTGATCAGGATTATGACTCTTATTTTTATACAGGAAATGAATCGTGGAGCCGGCGGCTTATCGAGCATTGATAATAATCTGGATGGGTTTTACCACAAAAATTTAAACTTCTCATTTTTTGAACAGTACAGCGAAGGGTACTTTCAAGTACCGATGTCGGATTACGATTCGTCAAGCTCACAGACAGAAGAAATCGACTCCGTCATTTCATTGGACAGTTACAACGACTCATTTACGGACATGGATGATGAAGACGAATTTGAAGGCAGCGCCACCAACGATTTGATCGAACTACGAATACAAATGGAACACATGAACCACCAGCTTGGAAAAGTACTAACCGAGCAAAAGAAGTTAGAATCAAACTTGACAGGAATCCTAACCGAAATGACAGAAAAAATGGAAAATATCAACGAGATGATGGAATCGTATAGAGTGATCTCTTCACAAAGATCGACGGGTTACCCGTCCACCCAGTCCAGCCAGACAACTCGTTTCCGAGGAATGAGCTCTGGTATGTATGGCTCACAATCAATGAACAACCTTGAGCCGTCAGCCAGAAAACGATGGGATGCTTTCGATCCTGTTCTTATATCAGAAGGTCTGTTTGCAATGGCAAAGGTCCTCACTTTCTTACGAGTAATCCGTATAACCGTCGTCAGCATGCATGTTGGCCCTATGCAAATATCCCTAGGGAGGATGATGATGGATATAGTAAAGTTTCTAATGATATTTTCGTTGGTATGGTTCGCTTTCTCTCTCGGTCTTAATCAGCTTTATTGGTACTATTCGTTCGAGATGAAACTAGACTGCAAAGTTCGCAACGAGACCCAATGTTCTCAACCATTTGGCACGTAAGTATTAGTGACATTGTTATATCTAGTCTTTAAAGGTAACTACCGAAAACATTGAATTATAAAGATCTCTTTATTAACAACCAGCGGTGATCTATACACTACTAAACGCACCGTTTTTCTGAGAAGCTACAACTATCAAATCTGCCACAACTTGACTATCACAAAATTCTAAACGTAGGTGGCGCTGTTCACATACCTGCTGACAGTGAATGTTAAACATCTCTAGACGACTTGATTGTTCCTTTAATATATAAATATATTTCTATTCCCGTTGAAGAAAGAAATCACCAAATATAAAATCAGCGATAATAAAATTTATCTTGTATTTTACGTGTAATTACCAGTCCGTGAAAATAAAAATGTACCCCAAACAGGTAAACATGTTCTCCCACCTGGTAAAGGAATACTTATAAAGCCAAAACATCAAGACATGTTTTACCTGTCACATATATTTAAATAAACATCATCTATATAAATTTCAGTAATATTATTTAAACTCTTTTCTTATTTGTTGGCATAAATATGGGAGTAATGCATTTTGAAATAAATAGGGCATATGTGGGAAAAATATTCATGCAAAATTTCAGCCAAAACAGAAATCTCATCCAAGACTTGATATTTCAGAAATTATATAGTCTCGATTTCCTATTCCTGATATAAGTATGCCCATATACGTCTGTGCATTGTGTGATGAGACACTAAAAATAAGTTTCATCTTCAACATCATGATTAAGCCAGTATAGTAGAACTGTAGTAAAACTATATTGTCTATGATTTAACGACATACTGAATGGGAAACATAAAAAAATGTTTTCATATCAGTGTGTGACATACATATACTTTAATAAAATATATTTTTATTTCCATATTATATAATTTTTAAGTAGAAGTCAAAACTGTATTCTGTATATTTTTTTTTTGTATTTTTGTCGACGATCGCATGAGTGTCTACATAAATTTGTAATACTTTTTATAACTCTTTGTTATCATTCATAGAAGGTCGTTTCTAGACACATAAAACCAATCTACATCGTTGGTGCTACTGTATCAGACTCGGCTTCTTTTTTTGGATTTCTTAGATTTGTTTAAAGCGTTGGAGTATTCAGTTTGGAAAACCATTTGTGATCATTCTCCTGCCAGATAGATTGAATTTGTACATGTTTTTGCTTCGAGGATTCTTGTTTGCTTGGATATCCGTGACATACATTCTTTGAGCTCATTCGATCAGATGAAACGCGGACATTTGGGCACAAGAATAATATCATCGGTGTTTACCATAATGTGTTCTAAATATCTGAACTTATTTAACAGGTATTGTGCCAATGGAAATCAGTGATGGTTTGGCATCAAGTTCTTAACTGAGATACTTTTGTTTGAATGTAATTAATATAGAAGAACAATTTTCTATAATATGATTCAGAGGCGGCAAATGAACAATACATTTATTGACTCGGTAACAAGACTTTTTATGCAATTGACGCAGTTTCACATATTACAGTAATAACCAATATATGCACTAAATAACACTCTGGGTTACACATTTATCCTGAGTAGAACTAATGTAAATTTCATTCAAACAATCCAGAAAAACCCTCAATACAATATGATCTAGCGAGAGATGGAAAAAATATTTAGTGACGTTTTCTATTTGCTATGTATACTGTATTTGTATGTTCAACATGAAAATGAAATAACCAGAAAATGTGTCAAAACACTAGCATAAGTATAGCCTACATGTCAGCAAGTTCACAACAGTCAACCAAAAATTTGTTTTCATGCAAGATTGACCACAATCTGTTAAAGTAAAAGAAATTATATGTATGAATTTATAGATACACAGCATAAAAATCAAACTTTTCTATGAAATCTTTGTTAAAACTTGCACAAGTCTTAAGAAAATGCGCGTGATATGTAGGAAACAGTGACATGATAGTTCAACAATGTTCAAAATTGTAAAAATTGTAACATTAGACCTTTTAATGCATCATGGGTAAAATCAAAATGGCAGTCTGGTGTCAAACTGAACATGTTTTGTCGAAATCCGTGTTTCTATTTTCAGAATACCAGATGCATTAAATACACTTTTCTGGGCGTTGTTCGGAGTATCTGAATTGGTAAGTCTAGACATAAAAGGTGCGGATCACTGGTTCACTGAAAGTGTTGGCAGGATACTGTTCGCTGCGTATCACGTCATCGGTATGGTTGTACTTCTCAATGTACTCATCGCTATGATGAGTAATACATATACGAAAGTGGAGGTAGGTCATGTTCAAACATTTGCACGTTTCCATGCATAACCGCCCTCAAGCGGTGATGCACTCCGATATAATTATCACGTGAAGAAGATGTCGTTTACAAATAATAACATTGTTTGGTTGTTCATGCCTCCGTAATATGGAATGTAGTGCTTTTTACAAACTATTTAATTGTTGGACAGTATTTAATATTAAAAATAGTAGAAACTTTGGAATGATTTGTTTGCTACCAATTGACAGCAACGTTAACAATTCGTCGTTTGAGGGCGCCATCACTCGTGACTTTTTGTATTTCACGTATTATAATTGCTGTGCTTTGGATTGCGTACAAACACCTTCCATTTCTTATTTTTATGCTAATTAATAATATATTGTAATGTTGAATTATTAATCAATTAATATTAGTGATTTTAGTGACGTTCAATTTATTAAATATTACCTTTGCTCTCTAACAGATTCAGATTCTGAATGTCACAGCGAACTAACGTGTTACGTAATATTGTGCCGAGCCGACATCAATATCGGTTCGAAATTGCAATTAACGATAGATATAGTAAATTTCTGCTTGAGTCTGTGCAATCAGCGCAACACCAGTCAATCATTTAATCAATGAATCATAGATAAATATACATCACAAAACAAATTTGAAGTTTCAAAGTGGAAATACCACAATCACGTGTTGAACGTAAAACTTTAAAATATGACGTACAAAGCACTGTGAATGTTGTTGGAGGATGTCGGCTCATATATTTTACGTCTTTTTTATTGTCTATGTGGGTCGATAATTTTAATAAAATGTATAATAAGTAAGCCAGCGTGGCTGTGAAATCTGATAATCGACATGCTGCTATGAAAGTGTTCGGAATAGGAGTAATGCAATTGTTTGTACAATAAAGGCCCCCTAGATGAAGTCTAACTGTGACTAAATGGAGCAATTTATTTTGATTGTCGGCGTCATGTCTACGTGCAGTGCTTTTTGAAACTTAAAAGTGCATAAACAATACGATTCATTTCCGCAACGGGAAACCAATGCCGCAGTTCATTGCACTGAAAATAGACACAATAGTGTATTGGTCAAACTGCGCACGTTTATCTGGTCGGCACCTTAGCAACTTCGTGCTATATTTTTGAACCACATTTTCCTAACTGGTTTATATATGAACTTAGTAACTGATCGGGGATAATTTTGTTTTTCCATTTTTCTTTTATCGTCTCTAACATTCGTAGGAAGACGCCGATATCCAATGGAAGTATGCTAGATCACGTCTTTGGGTCAGTTTCTTTGGCGAAGGCCAAACAGTGCCCCCGCCTTTCAACGTGTTGCCATCGCTGAAATGTATAATTGATCTCTTCAAGCGAATACGACTAAGAATGGCCGGGAAGAAAATAATTGACTTGAAAACTGTGAGTAGTAAATATTATGTCGCGTGCTTTTGACTAATTTGCATACGCCAATGTCCCATGGTGCACTGCGTGATACGAATGGCAGGTGGTCGTTTTTACATAAACTTAATATGTTCATATATAAAGATTGTTTACATGACATGCTTGTATTGATTATATCTCTAAATACTTTTTCCTCTTTTTTCAAATCGTTCTGTGCGCCTTTGTTATCCCAACTGTCAACCTCAGCGAATATATTTCTGTTCTAAAATCGTTTAATTCCCGTAAATATGTTTACAATTTGACGTCTTTGAATAAAATAAAAATAAGAGCAGTATCGCATTACCTGGTTGGTTAGAAATCAGTATTCTGTACAGATACAATTATTGTAATGTTAATAAAAAAACATGTAGAATTTTGAATCTAAGATTCATTATTATTTATTATTTAAAAGTCTGCTACTATAATGACAACTGCAATTCATATTAATATCAAAACTGTTTATTCTAGCGTAAACAATCAATGTTGGATATTAAGAGCAAGGAATATCAGGTACGTCCTACGCATGCGTTGTACAAACTATGTGTTACAAGCCACTCATAGGTCAGAGAAAGCAGAAACAAGGACAGCGACCCTTATTTGCGTTGATGAGTCTGAAAGAACGATATCCTTAGGATATTTTTAGAATATGAATCTGTTACTATTTATTTAGTTACATATTCAGCTGTAATTAACATTGCTTTGTCAGAGAAACGGTGTTGAGTGATACGAAATTGATGTTAATTGTACGGTTGTTTCGATGTGATGTTTTCTTAAATTACCCGACATTATGTTACATTTGAGTCTACGTTAATGATAAGCTATGGTTATCCAGCCTACAGTAGTGGATGCTGAATCATGACGTAATTTCACTTCATATGAAAACACATGTCAGTGATCATAAGAATGACAGCATGGTTAAATTAAATAAGCAAATCGAAGTCACAGTGGCACATGCAGGTGATTGCTTCACAAACATATAATACACTGTTTCTGTAAATCATGCCCTCTATCATCGACGCGATGATGTGAAGTAAATAAAACTGACACAGTGTCAATAATTTGTTTGTCTGTGGTCGTCTGTCAATAAAACAGACCTGTGCGGTGGTCGTCGCCCAGCGCTTGTTCGAATTTCATGTAAATAAACAATGTATTTCACACGCGTTGTATACATCGCTGTGAGTCTCCTATCGACGACTGCCGCCCTTTAAATATTTTATTTATTCTGGAAAAGAACGACTACATTACCAAATGACTTATAGGAAAGTTAAAATAAAAAATTAATTAAATAATATCGATACCTCTCGATTTATTCCTTGGTTAATTATAAATAAAGCCTTACAAAAGAGCGACACTTTCTTACAAACATGTAACTGAGAAACACGGTGGAAGTATCACTCTCCACAAAGCTTTACTTATCATTATCTTGTGATCTACGTATAATTTATCAGCCCGTTCGTTATATGTTCAGGTGCAATCACCTACACATACGTGGGTCAGGTTTGAAAACCACTTCACGCTGACGTCTCTGGACCGTGTTGGCGCTAGAGGGCCGACTCACAGAACAGATTTATTGTCTCGTTTTCTTTCATTCAGGAGGTGGTTCAGCGCCTTGTTCGTAGGTACATGTTCGACAGACGTCGGGTAGGCGACGAGGACGAGGCTTTCGACCCGGTGCTCATGCAGGTCAAACAGGACATAACAGGTTTTAAATATGACATGTTTGAAACTTTAAGCAATATGGACGACAAAATGCAAATAATGCAAACTAGAATGAACGACCTTGAAACCATAGTGACGTCTGTCAGAGACCAGTCCACGCCTGGTGCTGGACGTGGGTCCTCACCACCACCGACACCACGAACTCCATCCCCGATGCCACCTGACGAGTCGACAGAAGAAACAATGAGTACAGTAGACGTGACTGAAGGACCGTGGGAAGAAATGCCTAGTGCGCTACTACCGCTGTACGAGTGGGGTCATATAAGTTATATCGATGAAGTGAGCTCCTTAGGCAGTCGTGGAAGCCGTACTTCATTTCTGTAAAGAATTGATGATATCGCTGGTTCTATCGTTATTTTTTAAGCACTATTTTGCATGATATTGCTATAGCTATAATTTCTGTCACGTACCTGCACCATATAAGTAATCTGTCACGTGACACATACATCAAGAGTGCATACCATAAACATAAGTCTTGCGTCATCGCGTGTCAGTATGGGTACTTTCAGTATTTAGTGATGTTAATTTTATCAAGTGCTTCTTCCATAACAGTCATAAACCGAGCATTGCTACTCTTCGATAAAAACATTGAGATCATATGATAAGAATTATTATTGTATTGTGGTACTGTGTGTACAGCCATTTTACGACCTA